CACACCACCCCACCCCTCCCCGCCTCGCCTCGCCTCGCCTCGCCCGTCGGCGGTGCTGCCGCCGCGCGCCTCCAGGACGCCCAAGGGCGATGTGTATTTTTCGCCAAGGCCGTGGAAGCGCAGCGAACTGTTGTTTCGATAGGGGTTAAGAAAACGCGCGGGGGATGGGACGGAGCGACAGAAAGGAGACAAGTTGTTCTTTGGCTCTCAGCGAAAAGCGAGGAAAGATGGAAATAAATGGCGGAGGGAATTGACAACCGGAATACTTCGGAAATGAAAAGCGCTCCAAGCACATTACCACGAGCTTTACATCATACACGGATCAGGCAGTCTGCTCCGCCCAAAAGGTTCTAATGATCTACTGTCCTTCACTCATTGAATCGGGCCACTTCATGGAACGAAACTGCAGAAGCCCTGGGTTTATCTTACGCGGTTGCGGAGGTTCAATGGCCAATGTTAGAATAAATAAAAATAAACAAATAAATAAATTTTAAAATACGGGACTCATGGAGATGTATGAACAACAAAGCCCTCTGGGAGGCCGAACCTCTCCAGTCCACGGTACACGATTATTTTATGTAACAGAAATCACCAAACGGTATACACTAATTAGTGGTGCTCTAGCTATAAATTAAATGGAGACATACAGTGATATATCAATGATAAAACATATCACAATAGAGGTGAGGAATGAAAAAAAAATATATATCAAGGCTGCGTAATGATTGAATATTTCGTTTTCCTGGCGAATCTACTGCTATAACCATTAGCCCCGTAAATATGGTGCTTGTTTTATCACTGGTGGTGGCGGGGATCTTCCCCTGCTGAATGGTGAGGTGCCGCACCGAACCACGTGTCGCCTTGCGGGGATTCCCCGACCAGATAACTCCCACAAGTGGGTCACCACCCCAGCCGGGGCAAGCATTAACCTCCCGGTAGTGGCAGTGTAGTCCGTATGTGTAAAGCTAGCAAGAGAAAGGAAAGATTGCGCCCGGTCGGTGTTAGGGTACTGCTCCGGCGTTCGCCTGGTGTTAACCGAAGAAACCACGTAAAACTATCGATCAAAGCAGCCGGCCGCTAGAATTCTCTACGCAGCTGCTAAATCACCTAAGTAGTTATAATCGAAAATCCTGCTACCGGCAGGATTTGAACCCCACGACACTCGGTCAGGTACTGCAGCGACATCAATCGATGACCAGAGCCACCTAGGCCGATTTGTATATAGAGATACGCCATACCTCACGGCTATTTTTATCCAGTTGAAATTCGCAAAACACGGACGATGTCAATACAAATTCTTGCCGAAAATTATTGCAAAAATGTGAATGTGATACCTAAGAGGAAAGTAATTATTTGGTGCGAAGAAGATTTATTTTAATACAAACAATATAATTTCCCACGTTTTGGACAGCTAGGCAATAAGAATAAAGCCTTGAAAAAAAATATGAGACAAAAGACGATGTTACGTCGCAGCGGAGGCAAGAAGACAAAGGTTCGCACCTGGGTAAATGTTTAAGGACAGTCGACACCGCTGCGAGGGAAATGGAACAATCGGGAAGCGAAAAACATAAACATGCGAAGAAGAGACAGACAGATGGGAGTTTGCTTCGAGGTCAGCAGTCAGTAGAGTCTGCAAGAATTTTTATATTTTTTATCGGTCACGTGCGTCTTTAACCCTTGTTAACATTCAACCCTGTAAGTTTGTTAAGTGCACTTGTACCTACCTGTAGGTTCAGAAATTTAAAATCCTTAGCAACGGGTTTTAACATCCTTAGTAACCTAAATAAACAACCAACTATAGATGTATCGCAAGCAATACTCAACAATATCGATTATCGTGCCGCATCAACAGAATTCATGTTTCATTTCGCAGTAATGTAAATTTTCTCAAAAAATTTGAGATTTTATGGTGACCGATAAAACGCTGATCATACCACGAAATGTTACAGTGCTGTTACAGCCTCGTCCAAATTAAAAAACTCAGCTCCGCCACGCTCCGCCTCGATTTTTAACTTTTGGCATCGGCAGTAATAACACTCATAACATTTCTAGGTATGTTAATAGCTATAATTTAAAGGTTTATGGAAGTTTTTAGTATGTTGCGAAGTACATAGTAACAAAATTCATGAAGTTATTGAAGAATGTATAAAGGGCGTTAAGGCGATGCTTTTGCCCCGAGGCCGACTTCCAAATTCGAGGGCCTTAGATCCAACGAATTGCAAATCGCTTGAGGGGCATAATCTTCAAGAAACGTCCGAGACGAAAACAAAACTTAATAATTTACTTTAGATGAATCAAACGATAATTCGAAATATTTTTACATTCTCGCATACTACATACATAGTCTAGATAAAATTATGTAATGCTGCAGCAAAAAACGGGTATTTTGCGTATTTGCGGATATTGTAGGTCCCCGATACCGAAAAAATGGATAATTCTTCCTACCAGAAACCACATTTTGTAGATCCTTGATACCGAAAAATTGTTTACGGCAAAACGTCCGCCCATCGTGTTATCTATGACAACGCTAGCGGTTGAACTGTAGGCACAATTTTCACCGAAATATTGATATTCACCAATCGATCTGGTTGACGTCCTCCTTGAATTTGAAACATATTTTAATTTTTGCGGGTACTTTAAATGAAGCCATTACATTTTCCAATTTTTCTCAAAAGTTGTTTCAAATATTTTTCTTTGCATTTTTTTCTCATACAGAAAAGAAGTACGCTTTTAAAAACTGCGCAGGTCGGATTTCGTTGAATTCTCTAAATTTTCTATAACTCCAAACTTAACATACTTTTGGCCATCTATAACACAATATTAAAGATAAAGATTTTTCTTTAACATTTTGTTAATTTAATACTACTGAGTCTATAGTAAGTAATATATTATTGACGAAATAAATAAACTGAAATAAGTGAGTGTTTTTAATCATTTATCAATGTGCCAGCCTTGATTAAAAATTAATACACCAATAATTGTATTTTTTAGAGGTTGTGATGCTTTTCTTGTATTGATGAATCTGTGAATTCAAAAATATCAAACACTTAAATACTTAAGTAAATGAATATTTTGATTAATATATAATTAATGATTAATTATAATTTTTGGATTAGTAATTTAGGTCTAGATTGGTGAGAATTAATCGCGTACTTAAAATCTCTATATCAATTCTGTCAATTGCTGTCTGCGCGTTTTTTCTGAACATTTCGTGAGAACAATCAGCTGGACAGATCAACTTAGAAGTGCCCTAAAATTGAACACCATAGTCCACACGTATACATAAACTACATCAATCACGAAAATTTTTGCAACAAGTATCTATAATTTATTCCGAAAAAAATGCAATTTTGAATCGGTTGCAAGCTCGCGGATGGTTCTGAGGCGAGCAGCGAGATCTCGTTTCCCTCGGGCGGGTCGCGTGTCAGATGACAACGAGACTGGTCCCACGTGTGTTGCGTGGGGCGGAGGCCGGGATGGGGAAGCAATGCGCGAGCTGGCCGCCGGTACGGAATGGTCACGTGGGTCGGCCGCTGAGCCGACGGGACATGTAGTCACAGGGGCGGATACAGAAAGTAGTTGAGGGGTAGGGCAAATTTCAGTTAGGACACCCCTTTCAATTTTTTATTTTTTTGGAATTGTCAACTCGAAATGAATATATTCATAATGGGATTAATTAATGTTTCCGGGCGCGTCAACGGATAAGGTTATTAGTCCCGTAAGTGTAGTGCATGCGATTTCCTTGGGAGGGGGAGTTCTCCCCCCTTCTTGGATGACGAGATACGGCGCTGACGTACTCGTCGACTTGTGGGGTTTCCCCAATTAGGTATCTCCTCACAGCGAGGCACTGCCGGGGGGGGGGGGTGCAGAAGGTCGAAAGGCCTGTAGCTCTTGCTGGAGGCGGAAACTCCATTCGGATCCGAGTTCCCTGGCGGTACTCACGTCGTTAGCGCCAGAGAAGTAGTGATGCGCATCGATAACAAAACATCGATGTTGACAAACATCGATGTTCAAAATTAAAACATCGTTGTTAAAAATACATCGACTGAAAACCATCGATGTTTTTAGACTGGTTTAGTAATCTCTAACACTAAATTAATGTGCATCAAAATTTAATTTGACCGTTTTCGTGTTTATCAATTCACTGAATAAGGATATGAGAAGGGACAGACCCGTCTCCTTGTGCGTATTTATTAACCACATCTCAATATGCGAAATAAATACGAAGAAAGAGCAAATGCAAAGATATGGAGGTCATTTCGGATGAGAGAGTTTGGTCGCTGAAAGTTATACAAAGAGTGTTATTTTGGTTTGAAACAGTGTTACCATAAGCAGAATTTCATAATTTACTTTTACAGTATTATGATCTTGGATTTTTTAATTAACCATATATATAAAATGATTCTTTTATAAATAAAATTATTAATATTACAATAGAAAATAAAAATTTAAACCAATTTTACAACTATCCAAACATTCTTATTACAATTATTTATCTTCTAATTACACTAATTATTATTGTAAAAATTACCTCCCTTTAAGAAGGGCCCTTACGACATTCAAATTAATAACTAATGAATAAACCTTTACGAACAAATCACTCATTATTTAAAATTATTAACAATTCACTAATTGACTTACCGACCCGATCTAATATTTCAACATGATGAAACTTTGGCTCCCTATTAGGATTATGTTTAATTATTCAAATTATAACAGGGAGCTAGCTATACATTATACTGCCGACATTAATCTAGCATTCAATAGAATCAGTTATATTTGTCGAGATGTCAATTGGTTGAAATAACATCGACATCAATACATCGATGTTTAAATAAGATCGATGTCAATACATCGATATCAATACATCGATGTCAATACATCGATGTTTAAAATATAGATGTTTCTACAAAAACATCG